GAGAGAAACACAGGCCGAGCAACCCAGACATTTCCACGGCCCTCCGGGCTTTTCCAAAGAATGCAGGCCCTGGGCGTGATTCGCAGCCTCATACAGAGACTGTTGGGCGCCCAACCGAACGAGGCCCAACAGCCCAGTAGCTGCTGCATCCAGGCAGCCTCCTGGGGCCTTCCAGAAGCTTCTGGGCCCAGGCCAGCCCAGCCAGGCTGCGAGAGCAGCCCAGCTCTTTCCATAAAGGAAAGAGCTCTGGCCAGGCCGCCTCATTCAGGCACTCGCATGCTGGCGGCAGTGCTGCTGGAGCTGATGCTCGTGGGCTGCTGCTAGCGCTGGGAGGCGAGGTGCAGCACGTGCAGTCGTGCAGAGGAGCAGGGCGCTGCTGAGGGCAGCGCCATAGCCCAGCCACCATAGCTGGTGGGCTTGGACTACAGTGAAGCGCAGGGGTGGTCTTCGGGTGAAAGAGAGGACAGGTGTGGGTGTAGTCAGGGGATAGGTGAAGGATGATGATGATGATGATGATGTGAGGGCACTTACCTTGTATTGGCGATGGTCTGCATGGGCGACATCTTCAAGTACTTCGGACTGCCGCTGATGTCAACAGTTGCATTGTCTTTTTGTAGTCTGTAGTAGCTGTGTAGGAGTAGGCTGGGCGCTTGGCGCCAAGTGTGAGTGTGAAGGAACTGGACTCTTGTGTTGAGAGGAGAGAGTATGCTCTCCATGGACATTGGTTTTTAGTGCTACGAATCTCCATTGGTGTATTATTGGTGCAATGCTGCTCTTTGGACACGGTGTGACTATTTGGCTTTCAATGTGATGGTGTGATCTGGGATTGCCATCTCGCTGTTGCTTATTTTCCTTGCAATTTGGTATCGGAGCTGGTTCACATTGCGCTTCATTGGTTCTTCGCAATAGCTATTGGTGCTTCGCATGAGGTGTGGGGCAGTGATACGGCATTGGCGTTGAACATAAGGCGGCCCAGGGTAGTGTGGGCGCGCCAGGGAGCTATGTGGTGACATACGGGATGTATGCTGGATGATGAGAACTCGCTGATGTGGCATATTAAGCCGAAGTGTAACCGCATTCTGCTGTTGGTTGTGTTGAGGCAAAGACCGGTCATCATAATTGCACATCAGGTTACCGGTGAGAAATCTGTGGTTGGGGGCAGCATTTATGAGGTACGTTGCTCTCTTCCTTATCTACCCTCTTTATCTCTTCTTACCATGAGGAAGTGAGCTCTGTCTTGAGAGTCCTCTCGATGTGAGGTGTCGCGAGCGCTCAACCTTGAGAGTCGACATTCTTCCTGGGCAGCAAGCTGGTGAGAGACGGGCGAAGCCTCTGAAGGGCCCTGGACGAAGCACTCGGGTCACGGTCACCATGCCAACCCGCTGGGACTAGTATACGCATGCTTGGGCCGCAAGTCCTTCGTTCTGCTGCTTGCGCAATAGAGGTCTTCCCGGGCATGACAGCCTTTTATGAGACGCTTACCAGACCGTCTATAAATATTTCTGGTTGGGGACTCGGATCTGAATCTGGCTGTGATCGTCGTCCTGTCTGCGATGTTAAATAATTCCTGAGGAGATGGGGGCTCTCCTTAAATCCCTCCTGATCAGCCAGATCAACCGAGTGTAAGGCTCGTTCCGTACGAGGTTAAATAAGAGTGCACTGGCTGGCATGTTCGGCGATGACTTGGGGCACAGGGGTGGGCCGGATTGCACACCTTCAGACACGCTGCTGAACCAGATGCTCAGGAATGTTGACATAAAGTGACTACTCAAGAAGGATACAGGGGGAGGGGGGATTGCGGTAACTGTTCACAGTGGCAATCAACTATCAATCTGCCATCTAGTGTACATCTCCAACAGGAGATGTTATTTTTATTTTGATTACCTAGTTGTTACAGACTTGACTAACAACTGACAAACAGCTACAGATAGATTAGATCTTTGCTGTATGACAATCTGTTCTAGGGTAATCTAAAAATAGAATTAATATATCCTGTAGGACCTGACATTAGTTGTTACTATATCACCTAACTGTTTTTGTTCCAACCGACCGAAAGTAGTTGTGTTTTCATAATCGGTTGTGTGTCAAGCTAAGGTAGGATTCAGTGTGGATTCTAGTTTAGATCACACACACTATAGCTCATGAGTGATGCAAGCACAAGTGAGGAGGAATTGCTAGTGGACGACCGTAGGACTACTCGCGGGACTGCCCGCAGTCGACCCTTGACATTCTTGGAGTTAGGTCCAGGAGACGAGAGAAGATTGTGGAGAGAGGCTAGAAAGAGAACGGTGGCGAGGAGAGCGAGGGCAGCTGAGGATAGTGCCAAGACTAGAGTCTCAGCTAGTACCGGTGCAACCATGGCTCCCTCAAATATGTCGCAAGTCTCTACACAGTCCACTTCGTCAGGAGTCAGTCAAGGTGGTTCTCAGGGGTCCATTAGCCAGACTATTGGCTTGCAAGTCAGCCTACAGTCCCCACTCACGCCGGAGGACTTAGAAATCCTGCAAGGAGAAGAACTTCAAGATGAGTTACAACGGCAACTGGACGAAGCAGCAGAGAGGAGAAGGAAAGCTATACTTAGAAAGGCTAGACTAGGGAGTAGAATGCAGGAGCTAGGTAGACTAGAAGGCCTAGATGAGGCAGCATTAGACCCTGCTGGTCGTGTGCTGTGTAATGCTTTACTTTCAGTGGCTGAAGCGCAAAACGTCCAGCAGGAATTGCTGACCGAATTGATAGCAGGCCAGAAACAAATCCTGGCTGAACTTCGCGGTCCTCGCACAGTGGTGAGGCAGCCACAGTTTGCTGTAGTTCCCCCTGCGAGTGCGGGTCCATCATCGATGCCGCAACGCACAAGGCAAACTTTCTCTCCTATGTTTGACATGCCCCCTCCGGGTGGTTTGGTAGCAACTAGTGGTCCGGTTCCAAGAGTCTCAGCCGTACCATCCACGACAGTGGTAACTACAGTCCCACTGTCAAGCCAGGCCCAGGTTAGTGTGCAACAGCCTGTTTCAGTGGCTATGCATCCGCTGCAGCAAGCTCCTGGGCCCATGCAGCCTATCCAGTGGATGCCCAAGATAGCTTTAATGAGTCTGAAGCCCTTCCCTAGTGACAAGAAGAAAGAGGAGGACTTAGACACCTGGTTGAGAACTGTGCCTACTTATGTGAGGCATAAGCTCACAAGGCCAGAGCAAGAAGTTGTAGTGGCTGCCTCCTTTTCAGAGGGGTCAGCAGCCCGTTGGTTAAATGGCTTAGTGCAGCAGCAGGGCTACGGTCAAAACTTCGATGGCTGGGCACAGTCCCCTGACATTGGAAGAGTTCGTATGGTCCGTGTATAACAGGTGGCATGACCCACAAGGGGCTCAAAAGGCCACTGATGCTATCAACAGTCTTTGTTCCCGCAGGTTCAAGAATGTTAGAGAGCTAACAGACACCGTAGAACGACTACACGTGGTACCTGGTGTGCGTTTTGACCAGCAGGTTCTCCTAACGGATTACCTAAGGTGCCTACCTACAGTAAGGACCAAGTTGGTTGACGAGGCCTGCGTTGAACAGCACAACTTCGCTTCTTTCAGTAAGAAAGCTCTGGACACAGAAGCAAAGCTGGGATCTGCGCATCAGGCATCCCAAGATGGTAGGAAGAGACTGCCCCAAGACTGGAAGAAGAAGGGTCAGTTGATGTTCGTTGACCACGATGGTCAAACGACGGAGATTGACAATTTCCCAGATCTTGGGGAGTTCACAGAGCAGGATGGGGCTAGTGAGACTTCAAATGGTGGAGTCGTGGCACCCATCAAGGAAAAGGCTAGGGGGACCGGGAAGAAGAAGGTAGGACGGTCCACGGGTCAGGACGACCAAGGAACACCCGCATGGGTGAAGATTGGTTTAGACTACGAGGTGTGGAGGGATCGAGTTGCCAGGGGCACATGCATGAACCGTGGCAACTATGGCCACACGTCCAGGACTTGCCGCGACAAGAAGATCACCATGAAGGTAACCTCACCAACGGTGGTGGGCTTATCTTCGAACCCTGGGAGTGCTTCTGCGAGCAGCTCACAGGGAAACACCTCGGGCCAGTAGGAGTGTTAGCCGCTCTTACTCGCGCTGAAGTGGTAACGTTGCCTTCCCCACTTCAGGCGTTGGCCAAGGCTAGTGACCCACGTATCGCCCCGCAGACACATTCAGACCCACCGACGCTCTGTTCGAGAGATGTGTCTGAGGCCCTAGAAGAGTTAGAGACTGAGTGGTCAGGGAAGGACCCCAGGGAGTCTTGGGCGATGATCAGTAGAGTTCCAAAGGGTGAGCATTTCGTGGTAGAAGTAGATGTAGGTGTCCGCAAGGTTGGCGCCTTCGCAGACATAGGCTCTACACGAAATTTCATCAGTCATGCTTATGTGGATAGACTGCGCTTAGGGGACCAAGTGCAGCGGCTTAGCAGAACTGTAGCTTCTACGCTAGCCAACAAACACCAAATGGTGGTAAAGGAATATGTCAAGGATGTAGCCTGTACCTTCTCCTATGGAGAAGGGGAAGTGATCCACAAGATCTCCTTCCTGGTCAGCGACGAACTGCCATTCGATATGCTACTAGGCATGTACTACCTCGAAGTCTCGCAACCTCAGTTTGACTGGGATAGAAAGGTGTTGATTCACAAATTGCCCAACGGTAGAACTGTTAGATTGCAGAAGTATAAAGCTAGCAGTCCAATAGAAAACTACGGGTGTATGTGCGCCTCATCCTTCTATAACTACTATAAGCAGAATCAAGAGGAGGGCATGTATCTAGTCTTTGTCTCTGAAAAAGGGGAGGCCATTAAATCACCCCCAGAGATAGAAAGAGTCGTCGCACAATATTCAGACCTTTTTGAGGAGCCCACAGGCGTGGTAGAAAGGGAGGTTGTCCATGCAATAGAGGTTGTCCCAGGTAGTAAGGTGCCTAGAGGACGAATCTATAGGACGTCTCCTGCAGAGTTAGATGAGTTTCGCCACCAGCTCAAGGAGCTCACAGAGAAGGGATGGATACGGCCTAGTACCTCCCCTTACGGTGCGCCAGTCTGATTTGTTCCTAAGAAGGGAGGTCCGTTAAGGATGTGCATTGACTATAGGGGCCTCAATGCCATCACCGTTAAGAACGCGGAGCCCCTACCCCGCATTGACGACCTCTTGGATAGAGTGCAGGGATGCCGGTACTTCACCAAGATAGATCTGAAGTCCGGATACCATCAAATTGTCGTTAGGCCTGAGGACCAACACAAAACCGCATTTCAGACCAGGCACGATCTGTACGAGTTTATGGTGATGCCTTTTGGCCTATGCAATGCGCCTGGTACGTTCCAGCACGCGATGAACAGGATCTTTCATGACTACTTGGACAAGTTTATCGTCGTGTACCTCGACGATATTCTCATCTTTAGTAGAACTGTAGAGGAGCACGCTGAGCACTTGAAAACAGTGCTAGGTCTCCTTAGACAGAACCAGTACAAAGTGATCTTGGATAAATGCGAGTTTGGTCGCACCAAGGTCCTGTACTTGGGTCATGAAATTTCGGCAGATGGATTGAGGCCGGAAGATGCGAAGGTGGCCAGCATACGTGACTGGCCCAGACCTCGGACTGTTACTGAGGTCAGATCGTTTTTGGGGATGACGGGCTATTATCGTCCGTTTGTGAAGAACTATAGTACTGTAGCCTCCCCATTAACATATCTAACTTGACTTGACATCCCTTGGGAGTGGACTGAAGAGTGTGAAGCAAGCTTCAAGAAATTGAAGTATGCTCTGACACACTATGAAGTTCTTAAACTTCCTGATCCTGACAAGCCGTTTGTTGTGACCACAGACGCTAGCCAATATGGCATAGGCGCAGTCCTTGTGCAACAGGAAGGGCCCAAGTTGAGACCGATCGAGTATATGAGCAAGAAGATGCTATCTCAGAAGTTGGCTAAGTCCACTTATGAGAGAGAGTTCTACGCCCTGTACAGAGCGCTAGTTCATTGGAGACACTACCTCCTAGGAAGATTCTCCTATGCGAGGTCTGACCATGAGACTTTGCGCTGGATTAAGACACAGCCTGTGTTGTCAGACGCACTCAAGAGATGGATTCAAGTGATAGACATGTATGACTATCAACTTGATCCTATCAAGGGTACGTACAACAAAGTGGCTGATGCGCTATCAAGAACGACAGATTATCTGGGCGCGTTAGTAACTGAGTTTGGCATATCTGACGAACTCACTCGATCGCTGGTGGAAGTCTATCAGGGAGATCCAGTTATGTCAGAGATCATCCGTAGATTCCAAGCAAAGGACAAAAAGACTTTGGACGGATTTACGATGGTAGATGGCTTGCTGTTTCTCGAGAAGGCAGAGAATAAAAGATTGTGTGTCCCGTCTAGTGAGTCTTTACGTAGTTTATTTTTAGGTGAGTGTCATGATGCAACTGGCCATTTTGGGTATAAAACGACCTCAGCTAACCTTGTGCAGAGATTTGGTGGCCCACTATGATGCAACATACAAAGAGGTATGTTGAAACTTGCCAGGTCTGTCAAAGGGACAAACCTAGGACTCAGGCTCCGCTTGGGCTCATCAAGCCCTTGCCGATTCCTGAAGGTCCTGGTCAAAGTGTATCCATGGACTTCATGGATACTCTTGTGACCAGTAAGTCTGGAAAGAGGCATATCTTTGTGATAGTGGACCGCTTTACCAAGTATGCAAGACTAATCGCTATGCCAGAAACTGGTAAGACTGACTTTGTCATCAAACTATTCATGGACAATTGGGTAAGGGACTTCGGTCTACCTACGTCTATTATTAGTGATAGGGATGTAAGGTTTACAAGTGAACTGTGGCAGTCTGTTGTTGAGCAAATGGGCACAAAGCTCCAAATGACGTCAGGGAATCACCCTGATTCAAATGGCCAGGCAGAACAGATGAACCGGGTAGTGCAGCACCTGCTTAGGCATTATATCAAGCCAAGGGACGAGAAGTTACCTCTCGTCGCCAGCCTGTACAACAATGATGTGCACAGCACAACCGGTATGACTCCCAACCAGTTACATCTTGGTTGGAAGCCCAGATCTGTGCTTGACTTTCTGCTACCAGAAAGACAACCCACTGCAGCACCTGGCAGCATAGAGTTTGCTGTCAAGTATGATCAGATGCTGCAGCAGGCCGTTGAACATATTCAGAAGTCTCAAGATGCTATGATTGCATCTGAGAACAAACATAGACGACCTTCTAACTTTCAGGTAGGTGAGAGAGTCTGTGTGAAATCATCTGAACTGGGACAGGAGATAGGGATCTCAAGAAAACTGATGCCTCAGTACTTTGGGCCCTGGGAGATCTTAGATATTGTAGGGGATCAACCGGATGGGCCTTCATACGTGATTCGCATCCCTGCACACTTACGGACCTATCCTGTTTTCCATGCCTCCAAGCTGGCACCTTTTGCTGCCACAGACCTGTTTCCCTCTCGGAGATCGATGCTGCCCCCAACCATGGATGGCGAAGTGGACATTGACCAGATCGTCGAGCATCAAGTGATGCCTGTTCCTCGACCATAAGGCAGAGGACGACCTCCAAAACCAAGAATGCAGTATCGTGTGAGTTTCAGACATCATCTGGATCCTAAAGAAGATCGGTGGTTCACACAAGAAGAACTCATGAGAACAACACCTCAAGTGATTGCAGGCTATGAAAGAGCACTCAAGGGAAAGATGCCTGCAAAATGAGAGACTTCTCAGAGGACTCACGAAGTAATGGAGGAGGGAATGCGAGGATCAGGGTCCTCGGTAGGCCTAAGGGGCCCTGTTTGCAGCACTACCCGCCCTAAGTGAAGGCGGAGGTGTCCGCCCTAAGTGAAGGCTGGCCTGGCTTTTTGCAAAAGGCCCTCAACTGTCAATTTCATATTTGGGGTCCAGGCAGTTGCGACGCGCCAGTTGGTTGAGAGAAACACAGGCCGAGCAACCCAGACATTTCCACGGCCCTCCGGGCTTTTCCAAAGAATGCAGGCCCTGGGCGTGATTCGCAGCCTCATACAAAGACAGTTGGGCGCCCAACCGAACTAGGCCGAGCAGCCCAGTAGCTGCTGCATCCAGGCAGCCTCCTGGGGCCTTCCGGAAGCTTCTGGGCCCAGGCCAGCCCAGCCAGGCTGCGAGAGCAGCCCATCTCTTTCCATAAAGGAAAGAGCTCTGGCCAGGCCGGCTCATTCAGGCACTCGCATCCTGGCGGCAGCGCTGCTGGAGCTGATGCTCGTGGGCTGCTGCTAGCGCTGGGAGGCGAGCTGCAGCACGTGCGATCGTGCAGAAAAGCAGGGCGTTGCTGAGGGCAGCGCCATAGCCCAGCCACCATAGCTGGTGGGCTTGGACTACTGTGAAGCGCAGGGGAGGTCTTCGGTGAAAGAGAGGACAGGTGTGGGTGAAGTCAGGGGATAGGTGAAGGATGATGATGATGATGATGATGTGAGGGCACTTACCTTGTATTGGCGATGGGCTGCATGGGCGACATCTTCAAGTACTTCAGACTACCGCTGATGTCAACAGTTGCATTGTCTTTTTGTAGTCTGTAGTAGCTGTGTAGGAGTAGGCTGGGCGCTGAGCGCCAAGTGTGAGTGTGGAGGAACTGGACTCTTGTGTTGAGAGGAGAGAGTATGCTCTCCATGGACATTGGTTTTCAGTGCTACGAACCTCCATTGGTGTATTATTGGTGCAATGCTGCTCTCTGTACACGGTGTGACTATTTGGCTTTCAATGTGATGGTGTGATCTGGGATTGTCATCTCGTTGTTGCTTATTTTCCTTGCAGATTGATTGATTGATTGATTGATTGATTGATTGATTGATTGATTGATTGATTGACTGACTGATTGATTAGGTAAACTTCGTTGAATTTCTGCAATTTTTTTCTGATTAAGTTGCCATCTTGATTAGCACAAATTAACGCTAATCCCGGATGTCGCTAATCACTAATTAGCGCTAGTCCACGATTAGCAATCGCTTATTAACCCTAATGTGATGACCCGTCCTAACATGGACTGAACCACACGACTGATTTCTGAGTTTTGCCCATAGATTGAATGTCGTGTTGAGTTTCCCGCCTGCTACTAAGTCTGTGTGTGCAGGCTTGCTGGACTGCATGTCTGTTCGAATGCTGGTTGGCTTGAGTGTGTGTGTCCGTGCCTGTCTGAGTGCTAGTTGGCTTGAGTGTGTGTGTGGCGTGCCTGTCTGAGTGCTGGTTGGCTTGAGTGTGTGTGTGTGGCCCACAAGGGAACTTGCTCGTTCATTGGGCCCTCAGGGCCGGTACTTACCTGTGGCCGTGACATTGAGGGATTGCAGCAAGAAAAACACTCAAGTAGCGGGTAGGCCAGTACCGCACCCTGAAGAGGTAGATGTGCGGGTACTAGAGGCCGAGGAGAAGAAGACAAAAGTGGCATTTTTATTTTTATTTTTATTTTTTTTAAGGTCCAGGGTGTAGTAGAGGGTGGCAACTAGGCCTCAGGGAGAGCCCCCTGTACTCATTCGTTGGGAGGCCTGATGGATTGCAGGATCCCTAGGGGATTTTAGACTCAAGGCAGCACCACCTAACCTATGTTATTGCTCAGATCGCAAGTTGTGACCTGCGCCTGCGCTTACCGGACTTCGCCCGAACGCTAATGCAGATACTACCCTAACCCTATGGTCAAGGACAACCCGGGTGCAGGCCAGGTCCCACATTGAGCGGTCATCCCTAAGCCCGCGCCACACCCCAGTGGACTCTAGACAGCAAACTGCCCTTTCTACCGAGGTGCGATAACCCCAACCACCCCCCCAAGACATGGCACCAACCTATCATAATCCCTTTGGGATACTACCACCACGTATTGTTCCCCCAACGAGTATTTCACAAACGGCCCCACCTGGATGAAGCGCTGCCCACAGGTATCCGAGGGTGCCTATGGGATGAGAGTGCCTAATGACCATCCCATACTACCTCCTAATTGTGCGTGGTTGTTCCCCCGAAATGGATCCTGCCGTAGTCAGGTTCGATACTAGTACCTTGAGGTGGGCACCAACCACTGCCCTCAAGGGATATGGGCTCTTCTGCAGGGTATCACAGGTGACGGGAAACACGCAGCGGTACCCAACTTCTACCGTGATACCCTACATATAGCACACATTACCGAGACTGACACGACAGGGTCCAAGTGGCCACGCGGAGGTGCCTATTGTTGCATTTTTTATTGTGTGTGTTATTTACCGATAATTGCGACCACGTACGGGTAGAGTTGCAGGTGATTGCGACTATGTGCAGGTACAATACAAATGATTGCGACTATGTACAGGTACGTGCAAGACACATTCCC